TAACGATCGGTTGCGGAGTTTATAAACGAAGCTAGATAGCAATCCAAATCTCTATTTAATGTCATCTTTAAATTTTGTTTGATTTAGACTTTGCTTATTAAACTTTCGTTGTGCAATGAATAAAACCGAGCACTTTCACCGCTCGAATTCATCGGTTACCACATGTCGATCAAGAATTTCGCCAACAGAGATAAAACCCTCTTCAAAGCCGAACGGTACAGCCGTCCCTAGTGAAGCACTCCTAGGTCGAAGACCGAGCGGTAAAATCCCCCTGGTGAGAGAGGGTCAAAGCCTACTCAAGATTAGAACCGGTAAATTTCGCGTTCACTATGGAAGCACTCCTAGCTCAAAGCAGAGAGGTAAAACCCTCTCAAAGCCGAACGGTAAAGCCGTCTACCCTAGTGAAGCACTCCTGGTCGAGACCGAGCTTTTTGGGTTAAATACCCCTCTGGAGAGAGGTAAAGCCCTCTCAACGACAACGGTTAAAATCGGTCACTAGGAGCACTCCTAGCTCAAAGCAGAGGTAAAACCCTCTCCAACCGAACGGTAAAGCCCGTTCCCTAGGAAGCACTCCTAGGTCGAAAGACCGAGCGGTACAATCCCCCTCGGGAGAGAGGTAAAGCCCTCCAACGATGAAACGGTAAATTCCGTTCACTAGAGCACTCCTAGCTCAAAGACAGAGGTAAAACCCTCTCAAAGCCGAACGTAAAGCCCGTTCCTAGGAACACCCTAGGTCGTAAGACTCGAGCGGTATCCCATCCCCTCGAAGGAGAGAGGGGTAAAGCCCTCTATCACGACGAACGGTAAATTACGTTCATCTAGACGCACTCCTGCTAAAAGCAGAGGTAAATCCCTCTGTTTAAAGTCGAAGGTCCGAGAGGTAAACCCTCTCGGTTTAAAGTTCGCAGGCGAGAAGGAATAAACCCCTCTCCGGTTTTAAAGTCGAAGTGTCGAGAGGTAAATCCCTCTCGGTTGATTGTTGAAGGTCGAGAGGTAAATCCCTCTCGGTTTAATGTGGAAGGTCTAGGTAGGTAATCCCTCCGGTAATGTCGAAGGTCGAGAGGTAAACCCCTCTCGGTTAAGAAGTCGAAGGTCAGAGGTAAACCCCTCTCGATTAAGTCGAAGGTCGAGAGGTAAATCCCTCTCGGTTAAAGTAAAAGGTCGAGAGGTAAAGCCCTCTCGGTAATGTCGAAGGTCGAGAGGATAACCCTCTCTCGGGTAAAGACGAAGTCGAGAGGTAAAACCCCTCTCGATAAGTCGAAGTCGAGAGGTTAAATCCCTCTCGGTTAAGTAGAAGGTCGGAGGTAAGAACGCCCTCTCGGTAATGTCAAGACCGAGAGGGGAAACTCCTTCGGTTTCCTGTTGAAGACGACGACTGTAAATCCAGCTCGGTTAGTGCGATCGTTGATAGTTGCGACGCGATCGTCGGCGGAGTTTAAAACCCGCTCGCTTCTTGTCGAAGACCGAGAGGTAAACTCCTCTCGGTACCTGGTTGAAGGACGAGTTGTAAATCCAAGCTCGGTTAGGTCGTCGTCGAGCGTTTAGTTTGTTTTTTTTATTTAAACGCCACGGTCCTGTTCTTTACATATGGAAAAAGTTCTAAAAAAGAAACTCTCTTCAACCACCGACAAGAGCGGCAGAAGCTCACCAATACAACAAACACACCCTCCCTCAAACTCATAAGTCCTATAGTTAACCACGGCTAAAGCCAAACGCTTAACTCGAACTTGGGGGGCATAATGTATAGTATGAAATATTAACCGAGCGGTTACAAACAACCAACCGGATATTTAGGTAATCTGTTTATATCTTATTCTGTTTATATTTTATTGGGCTTATATTAGTTCAAGATCCATGAGGAAAATAATAAATACAAAGCTAGGGCCAAGAGCCAGGTACATTCCACTTACTCTACATGACTCTCAAATACTCAAGAGTGATAATCATTCACTAAATATTCAACCAAGAGCCGAGGCTCTTCAAATCACACGCCTAACTTGGGCGTCTGAGTTCCTTTTGCAGGTACATCCCCCTCGTCAAGAAGGAGACCGATCGGTTTGCGCCAACACCGATCGGCCAACAGGAGGAGTTTGGAAGCGAGCGAGCGGCCCAGACGTGTCAGCAGGTTAGTCTCTCGGTCCCCAAAAGTATCCACCGAAACATATATATATATATATATATATGTTTATTTTATTTTTTTCAAAAAGATTACAAATCTTACGGGGAGGAAATTTTCCAATAAGGGTTAATCGAGTTCTCCATTACCACATATGATATTTATTTTTTTGTTTTCCATCCACTTGGGTGGATGATACAAATATTAAATATTAATTATTATATTTATTTATTTAAAACAACATTGTTAATTTTTTAACATATTCTCTACTATTATTTCTTTTTCATTTATGCTAGCATATAAACTATTATAAATTATAAGTAGAAATGGTAATACAAATGAAAAAGTGGCAGTAATTAGTAGGGTTAAATATGTTTTTTGTTTTTTAATTTTAAGTGAAAAATTATAATTAGTCCATTTTCAAAACTTTGACTCAGTTTAGTCCCTCAACTTTAAAATTGTGTAGATTTAGTCATTTTAACCAAATTTTGTTAAGTTTATTTGACGTTTCAAACATAGGTCATGATAAGATTTAAATTGTTTACACTATTTGATACATTTTTTCTTCAACATTAGTTTAAAAATGCATTTGAAACTTTCAGTAAACTTAACAAAATTTGATTAAAAGAATTAATTCCACATAGTTCTAAAGAAGATAAACTAAATTAGTTTAAAGTCTCGAAGATCCTACTAATTTTCACTTAAAGTTAAGGGACCAACAAAATCTTTAACTTTAATTAATATTACATCAAAATTTTAAATGAAATATAAATGATGAATTAAATAGATTCAACAAAAGAAAAAGTGGATAGATGGGAAAAAAACAAAAAAGAGTACTAGAAAATAATTATTTGTTGAATTTTGTTTTAGAAATACAATTAATGTATTCTCTTAATTATAAATGTGTATAAAAAGCAATTGATTAAGAATTAAATGAATATTTGCATCGTCTTTAAAAATATGGATATTCATATGTTTTAATAATTTTAAAATTAAAAGATATAGTTATTATTCAACCGTAATGAAATTATTAATAAATTACAGTAGTATATATTTTCATTAATACAAGTAATTTTTTTTCTTTATTAAAATAGAATACATTAAGTAATGAGAAAAATATATTTTAATGTAGAGAAAAAAATTATAAGAATTACTGCTTATGCTTAAATAATTTGGTTCCAAGGTGAATGGTGGTTTGCATGTTACTAATGTTCGGTTAAAGATTAAAGGTTATATGGTATATTTAGTTTGAAAGTTTGCTTATGACAAAATGACTTATACTAAACTCATGTGTATTCAATTTCTTTAGTCTAATTATCAGAAATATATGTTCTTTAAATCATCATCAATTTTGTATGGTATTAAGGATGCATATGATGTTGTTATGAAAAATAGTTTTTGGACACTAGGTAAGGGTGATTGTATTTAAATTTTTGGAATGATTGTTGGTGTTCTGATAATTGCATATCTAAACGGGATAAAATTTCTTATTTTTACAAAGTAAGATTATACTCTATTGTTAGTTCAGTCTAGACAGGTACTCATTATAACTTTTCTTATTTTGTTATATTATTTTTCTTCTTTAATGGTTAATGAGGATGAAGATGTGTCTAATTAGACTTTGGATTTACTAGTGTGTTTTCTATAAGATTTGCAAAAAAAGTTTGCTTTTCTGATATGAAACATGTGGATTTGTGGAACTTGATTTGGTTGAATAAGGTGGCTTGAGCTAAAACTTTGGTTTTTTTGAAAGTTGTTGTATGATTGTTTACCTATTGATTTGGAGGTTAAAAGAAAGGAGTGATTTTATGCTCTATAGTTTCTTTGTGTGGTGGTAATATATAATTGAATCTTTCTCTCATTTTTTTCTTTTCTTTGTATGGTGGTAATAATTGAATCTTTCTCTCATTTTTTTCTTTTATTATTTTGTTACTAAACGATTGTGAGACATATAAGAAATTATTGATTTACCTACTGACAATTACATACAGATTTTTAATCGATAGGTAACTTTAGCATTACATATGGATATTTACTTATTGATTTTAATTTGTATGTAAATCATCATACATATGGATTTAAATTTGTAGATATGCTTAATGGTTTTAGTATTTGTAGTTTTCTTCTTTGAATTTGGTTGTTTAGTTTATAGAGTTTCCTTGTAGTCCTTTGCTTAAAGTGACTAAAGGATGTCATTACTAAAGTTATATGGATGATTTGGAGGATTTGAAATCATAGTAAATTTTAGGATCCATTTGAATTTTCTTATGTTATTTCATAAATTAAATAGTTGGTGAGTATGATAAGGAATAAATCTAAGAAGCAGATGAGTAATATTGTCTTTGATTTTTTTATGCTGAAATTTGTCAATATTCAAACTATGGAGGGTAGGTGATTTCTATTATGGATGTAATATGACAAATTGTATCTTTTAATTGACTTAAGATCAATATTAATGGTGTAATCAAGGGTTGTTTTGGTTTGTAATTTTATAAAAGGGCAAGGTGAATATATGGATAGTTTTTTCTATTTTTTAGAGTTAGAAACATGTATTATATTGAATTTATGGAGTTGTTTATGCTTTTAAACATGTTTAAAGAGAAGAATTTCACAATTTACCCTCAATATTGTGTATCTTTTTTTTCTAAATAATAACCTGAACCATGTCAAATGAGTGTCAGCATGTCAAGATACTACTCCTCTAAAAAAAAATAGTGTCACAGTTCAACTAGAACCATTATTATGATATATAGAAATAGATACAGGTCATGTTTACCCTTTGAAAGAAAAGTTAAATCTTTTAAAAGGCTGTTTTACTATTATCAGTAATTTTACGAACCAAAATGATCTCATTGACATTTCACCTAGAAACCTCATAATGGTAGGGTTTCTAAAAGAAATCTATATAACCAACTCGCTTTAATTTAAAAAAAAAAATTAGAATGTTATGTTAAAATAATATTTTTATTAATAAAGAAACCCTTAAAAAACATTTCCATTAAAAATGCTCTCAGCAACTTAAAAATTTCTCCATCCAAAAATGAAAAATAAAAATCCCTCTGTTTTATCAAACTCTTGACTAAGTACTTAGTAACAAGACGAGACTTTTTGTGTTGTTTGATCAAGCACTGTGGCGAAGCATGTTCAATAAGGAAGACCAGGTTCCTGTAACTGCAATAACCAACCCAAAAACTACAATTGCCCCATCACAAACCAGACACCTCCAATCTATCTCTTCTTTGAAAACCAAATAGTGAAACGTAGCTGGCAAGACAAAGCTAAGAATAACACAGACGCTACTACCAACAAGTGATAAAAAATCTGCAAAGTTAGGCACAAAAATTGCCACCAAACTCACCCCCAACACCAACAACCACCTCAACCACAAACAGTACTTAGAATCCCACAACCGTCTCTCCACCAACTCGTACACTGGATTCATCATCAATGGGAAAGTAAAGAACAGGTTGATGCAAAGACCCAACTGCACCAAAGCGCTTACTACGCCTGGTCCAAGATTGGTAGTGATAACCCCTTGAGTTTCTTCACCAAAAGCAAAGTAACCTAAAGCAGCAAACGCTGCAAACAACAGAGAAATGAGAAACATTGCCGCACCCAAAACCCCACCAAATTTCTCCTTATCCTTCGCCTCTGATTCCAGCGGCAAAATCATTCCTATCCCTTCAAACGCATACACTGCCACCCCTAAACCGTAGAAAAACACGGACCAACCCCCAAAGGCCTCCAAAGGAGGGCTATTCTTCATGAACGCGAACACTTCGTCCACCATCACCACACTCTTCGCTGCAATATCAACAACATCGGCGAAAATGCTCAAGGGAGCCAAAAGGGTCAGACTTGGGATAGCATTAAGGCCCAACTGAAAGGGAAAGCAACCCCACAGAAACAAGACCTTTGGCGTCAAACCCAGAAAAGGATACCATGTTGACGCGTCACCGGCGAGATTGGCCAACGTGGTGGAAATGAAAATAAGGTAGCCGACACAGAAACCGCAATGAGAAAACCCTATCATGACATCAACGAAAAATTTGCCAGGAGGGCCCCCAATGGCATACCCCATATCACCAAAAGAGTTGAGATGGGGGAACTGCTCCTTGGATTCAAGCTTGCGGCGAGTGCGCACGAGGAGCATCATGCAGTGGTAAGTGAGGAAGGCGACGAGGAAGAGCATGAGCAAACCCGTGACCCAACCCGTTTTCTTGAAGCTGTAAGGGAGACCAAGCACGCCAGAACCCACAATGGATATGAAGATGTTGGCGAAGGTCTTGAATGTTGAGGAGAGACGGGGTGCATTGGAGAGAAGAGGCACGTCCTCTCGTGGGGTTTCAACACTGTGAAACCCCATTTGGACAACGAATGAAGGTGGCGGTTCTTCTGCAAATGGAGGGTGATGGGTGCGGAAGAAGCAAAAGCATGCAGAAGAAGGAGAAGGTGGAAGAATGAGAAATGTTTTGTAGGGATATGAGGTGTGGTTGTGACCTTAGGCCAAGGTTTGCAAATGCTAATATAGTAAATATATAAATTGAATTTTGGAATACTAAGGTGGGAAAATGGCCATTCTCTGGTGTCTTATTGTGAGCTTCAGATTTGTTGGGTGAAAGAACACAAAACAAGCATCACTCTCCGTTTAGCTTATAACAAACATTTTTTTATTGAATTTAAGTTACATCACTACAATTATAATTTATAAATAAATAAAGAACCAATAAAAAATTATATATCTATTATATTAAAAAAATATTGTGTAAAAATCTGTATCAAAATATCTATTTTTTAAGAAACAAAATTATACATGTAGCCTTCTGTTTTCCTAGTTCCTTGTAACCTTTAATAAAACAAAAATAATAATATTTTTACTGAACTGATTCATTGAAAATGTAAAAAATGTTAGATGCACGTATTTTATATTTATTTAACACTATCCTTTTTATTTTTATTTTTTTTCAAAATATTACAAAAATTCATATTTTAAAATTATTTTATTTTTATTAAGCATGTGAAATAAACGTCGATGTATCATGTTATCCTTTGTTCAAAAATATAATATCAATACATGGGTATTTATTAAATAAGTAATGATACACGTCTTGTTTTTAACTTGATGTCGTTCAACACAATTACAATAATATTTTTATTTTAAAATGTAAAATAATTTGAAATAAATTAACTAAAATATAAAATATTATTTTTCTCATTAAATGTGAGAAAGGTGCGAAGAAATTGTAAAGTGTTTCTTATTAAATAACACGTGTTATTTAAAAATGAGAAAAAAATTTATAAGTATGTGTTATTTAGAAAAATGTTCTTTTATCAGTTATTTTTTATAATTGTTTTATCATAATTTATGTAATAGTTTATAATTTGTTGGTTATTTAAAAGGAGAAAAAATTATAAATATTATTTATTTATGTGGTAGTTTATAATTGATTCGTTATTTAAAAGGAGAAAAAATTATAAATATTATGATGTGATATAATTAATGAGTGATAAGAATTGATAGGTGTAAATGTGATGTCTAAAAATTAATGGATGTATACGGTTCTCATAAACTTGCATTGTGGTCCTACGTTTTGGTGTTGGCAGTGGGTATGAATTGAATTTATAGATCGGATTTGTGACCCAAGATCCTTTAATTAGATCAAATTAATTGAACCTTGTTAATATACTTTAAATTTCAATTGAAATTAAATTAAATATCCGTATAAATTTATTTAGGATAAAATTAACATTATAATAGATATAATTACATGTGAAGATCAAATCGTATTTAAATCAATATAGTAATTCTATATTTCTATAACATATAAGATATGATTCAATTTAAATAAAAAACATGATGATTCAACGTGACACTATTACAGATTTGGTTTGTTAACTACGGTGATATGTTTCAATTTAAATAAAAAAAAAACAAAAATACATGGTGATAGTTTTAAAATTTTTACGAATATATAGATCTTGTTTTCAAAGGAAACAAAATTATATATAT